TTTTTTTTTTTTTTTTTTTTTACAGCCCTAGTGGTTTTACAGGAAATGCAGTTGTGGGTAGAAGACAACACAATGCTTCACGTGTGTAACTTGAATGCACACATAGAGACCTGTGTTAGGTGAGGTACTCTGAGTTATAGCTCTAGTATTCGTACTGTGAAGGCCAGTTGAGGTCTTGGACAGATCGCTCTGCCTTTTGACAGATCTGGTTTCCTGGTTTCTTTTCATCAGGTCCCTGAAAACAAAAAGACACCTAAATATTTGTAAACATTTTTGCATAGCAAACATGAGGCTTTTTTTTCCTACTATATTGTGTGTGTAACTCAGACTCTTGGCTAAAGTTCAGACTAAAGATATAACGCTATCAGTAAAGTTTGCAGTCCGGGAAATTCATGCATATGCAGCGACAGAAACATCACTCAAGTCTGCACCTTGTTAAGTCTTATTCTCATGGTAATATCTTTCTCTGAACTATTTTGCAACAGAACTTTTTTTCCTTCCACTAAATTTACTTTTAATTATGTTTTTGAAATGCTTGATGCAAAGTCAGCTTGATTTGCAATGACCTGTTGACATTTTTATGTGGGTTCATGTCTGTACAGGTGCATACCCATTAACTGGGCTGCACCTGTACAGCAGAAGACTAAAATATATTGAGTTATTTTGCATTTGGGAAGAAAAGCGACATGATTGTGGTGTGGGGAAAAAAAAAAAAAAAAAAAGCGACATGATTGTGGTGTGGGGAAAAAAAAAAAAAAAAAAATAGTAGTTTCAGATCAGTAGTATCAGAGGAAGCTGCCGTCTTATCTGTTGTGATAACAGCTTCTGCACTCAAAGCTACATTGAATTTAGACGTGCACACGCATATTGACAAGTACGCACATGCAGATTCAATTGGTTTAAACTCCATTTATTACTCCAGCTGTCAAGGATGCAGAAACTTCTTTCAGGGTAATAAAATGTTTCTGTGAGTGAGGTATGATTGGCTCAAAGCTTCTACTAGATAGTGAGAATGACTTTGAAGGTGGCAGGAAATGATGTCGTATGCTTCGACAGTCAGGTATTTGCTCACTTATGAACCCTCAGATGAGGTGGTCACATGGTCACACATCAACACAGATTAATCTTTTTAATCTCAGTTATCCGCATCTGTGGCTCAGCATTTTAAGAGAATAATGTCAGCCCTGCTTTTGATTAACAACAAAAAAGCACTTTTTTTTTATTTTTATGAATGCAGCTCTCATTAGTTTTGTTGCAAATGTTACTTTTAGCTGTGTAAAATCTGACCTTGTTAGCAGCTTGCCAGGAGCACAAATGATGGTTGCACACTTAAACCATTAATTTACTTTTTTTTTAAATTTGAGAATACAAATAGAGGTGCGCCTTCCTTATCTAGTCAGTGAATTTCTTTAACTTAATAAATAAATTAAACTCATCTTTCCAGTTAATAATTAAAAACACAGCGTGATACAGTTTGTGTGTTTACATCTGCTAATCTAAAAGATTATGACTTGCAGATCATAAAAAAAGCAAGAAAAGTTTAGTACCTCAGACAATTATACTATTGCAGAATAAAAGAAGAGACTTCATAACTGATGGCCCACTCAAAAATAGTAGTCAAATTTGCA